ATATATATATATATATATATATATATATATATATGTATACGAGAAAGATATACCAATATATATCAACCAGAAATTGGAACTAATAATCCTCAGATTATAAGTCCAATCTAACGTATATATCAAAAGAGGGAGAACGGATTTTTGCTTAAAAGCATAATCCAACAACAAGAAAGAAGGAGAAGAAGAAAGAAATGTACGAGTTAGGTGAGATGCCTTTCTTTCCTTAAAACCTTATTTGCCACCTCCCAAAAGTGCTAGGAGCGTTGTGGCCTAGGCTTCCCAGGATAAAACGTACAACGGTTCGACGTTTGAGCACCCAAACGAACGAACCCGGCGAACTAGAGCATGGGACGAACACAGCTACAAGAAGGGAGTAGGAGCAGAGATTTTGGAGATGGGAAAACAGAATTTCAGTGTTGTGTGTGTTGTTTTCAGTCTGTGTAGAAACACTGCTGCTATAGGAGGTAAGGAATCAATAGCACAGTCCAGAACCAACCATTGGAAAACTTTACAGAAATTGGCCAAGTGCCGACGCACACGAGCTCGGGCTTGAATCAAACATCTGTCCTTTTGTGCAGAACAAAAAACAAATGTTCAGCGCATCATAAGGAGTCAAACTTTGAGACATTGGGACCATTCCAATTCCTCGGTGAGATAATTCATTTGTTACAGTACTTAAATTAATGCATTGTTGGTTATTTGTACTTATTTATTACTGTAATGTTTTTGTTTCAAGCCATATTCAATATTGGTCATTGTCATACTACCATGTCGATCTATGAAAGTTAGAGCAGGTTGCACTGTATCAAGTAAGGTAGGAGCGGAGTTTGCAACATCAGCAATCTAATTAGCAGATCAGAGATTGAGATCGCGCAAGGGAGCAAATTATGGGGATTGATTCATTCCAATTGTACTTAATTGATTGAGAATTTGATTTGATTTTATTTCGTTTGTGATGTTGGTTAATTTTGATGTTTTGAAAATTTTGCTCCTGTCCCTTTTGCAGTTAATTAGTTGCGAGTTCATTGCAACTTTTTTTTTCTTGCAAATTTCTTTTCTCCCTTAGTTTAGAAAATAATGCTTCTCTGCACTCAACTCTCTAGAGTTTACAAATAATTGCAATAGAAAAACACTCAGAATATCCACATGTAAGAACTCAAAACAAGCAGTAGAAACTAACATATGTGCTATTAAGAAAAAAGAAAAATGATTCATTTTCTAGAAACTATGCTACTAGCCAAACCATTAATCATTTGCAACCCATGTATTCTTGAATCAAGCAAATGTTGAAGATTCTTCTAGCATGCAATAGTTTCCAACAACGTAACTAACAACTGATCATTTGCATTGGTTGTATTCTGTCTATCATGCTGAGAAATCTTATCATAGACCTTATTCATCGATGGATAGGATCCATCACCATAAGTTGTAATCTTACTTCGGCATACTCCTGCGATATAAACAAAAAATTTGATAAAGAAAATAATAATGCAACTATCATGTTCAATGGCTAAGCTAGGAAGTGTAGGAACCCTCTTTATTGTGTAAAATCACACAATCCGAATAAATACAGGAGTAACTCCAGTTAAAATAAGAACATATTTATATTTATAACAATATAAGATAAGATTACGAATTTGAATTCTTGCCTCCATTGATTTGAACTGATCAATTATAAATAATTTAAACTGATTGAGTTTACTCACATTCAAAATGATTGTTGAGTTTCCTCATCATTCGAAAAGAAATGGAATAAACCCAAAGGAATATTAGTTGTGGTGTGTAAATGTGTTTGTGTCCGTATTACACGTACAGCTTTTTCTTAACTAACCTCTTCCGATCCCTATACATTTTACATATTATATTCAATTCGTTTATACACTTGACAGCTATATGTATGTTTCCTCCCTTGCATTATTAAATATAATAAAGTTTGTATGTTATTTTTTGTCTTCAGATTCTTCGAAATAAAAAAGCCATTGACTTGTTGACTTAACAAAGATGAAAGCTCAATTTATCTTTTAAAATATTATAACAAAATTCATTACGTGCAACGCACAGTAAAACCACTACAATTTCTTTCACTTGGTGACAATATAATCCACTTGGCAATGGAAAATCCACTAATTTGGATTTCGTGTCGTCTCTCTTCAGTAGCACTCCTACACTCCACTTACAACCGCGGTTTTACATGACCAACCGCCGCCATCGTAAGTAATTTATATATACTTTTGAATATGTTTTTAGGATCCTTTTCACCATCAAAAAATAATTTTTGAAAGTTATGTTATAGATTTTTTCTGTGTTTGAGTGTCTAAAGAAAATAAAATCAAAGAAAAATATTTATTTTAATCAACAAAAATTATTTAATTTGACGAAAAATGTTTTTCTAAATTTTTAGTCCGAAAATATTGTCTGAATTTTTTATTTTTCCGTCTCTCTTATCTCTCTTCAAGTTAGTTCCTGAATTATTATTACTATCACCACCATCACATCTCCATCACTATAATTACACCACCACTACCTCCACCAAGTACCACACTACATCGATCACTGCACGCCATCATCACTACAACTTCCACTACCACCACCATCTTCATCACCACCACACCACTGTACTATAGGGATGAATAAGTTGAGAAATCAAATTTAAATATAAAATATAAATAATATGGGATTCAAATTAAAAGAAAATAACCCCAAACAAAAGAAATAATGAAACAAGGAAAATTCAAATCGTGTGTAACATACACTTTTCTTAAAACCGATTCGCTATCTTCCGCTCGCATGATAAAATAGATTACAGTAATATAGTTGAGCACTCTAGCTATATTACTTTTGGAGAATTAGAATACAAGGAGAGCACTTTGAAATTTTCAGAAATGTTGGCAAAATTTTTTTAGGAAAAAGATTTTCGAGAGAGAGAGAGAGGGCGGGCGGGCGGGGGGGAGGGGGGGGGGCACAAAGACTTTTGAAGATTGTTCTGTAACCTTCATAAAAGACAACTTAATCTGGATTTTCTAGTTATGAACACTTAAAAATTAAATTAGAATTAATTGTTCATTCTGGGATTTGATTTGCAACCCTTGCACGCGAGAGATAAACCCACTTCCATGCCAATGTAAGATAAATGCTACTTCCAAGCTAGCTTTCTCATCTTTATTTTCCAACTCAAATGAGTCTATTTTGAGAATTAATTTCTCGTTCACCCATTATTCGTTTTGAACGTAAAATATATCAATTTCTTCATCTCACTCTGAAGAACCCAAATCTAGTTTACCTAACCCAAATCGAAAGTAGACCCCATATATATTTGTACCACAAAATAATCACTTAAAATGTCATTTTTGTTAAAAATATCCAACAACTACCCCCAGTAGTCCACCACCACACCATCGCCTTTCTTTACCTATTGTTTGTTATTTCTATTATTCATTACTTGTTAATTGATTACTAGCTTTCAAACACTCCACATGTTTTGCCCTTAGTCAACTTACTATTTTACATCCTTTTGATTCACTTCTTTTGATATATCTGGTGTGAAGATATCTCTCACAAACCATCATCGCTAAAATCAATTTCTTTCACTTGTTGACAATCCACATGGCAATGGGAAATCCACTGATTTCGTATTGTCTCTTTTCAATAGCACTGCTACACTTCACTTACAATGGTGGTTTTACATCATGCACCAACAATCCCCGGTGATAAGTACTTTATATATATTAATTAATGAAGATGTTTTTAGGGTCTGTTTAGAAATCAGAAAACAATTTTAAAATTAATTTTTTTTAATTGTCTTGTGTTTGGGTATTTAAAGAAAAATATTCATTTGATAAATGAAAAAATGCTCAATTTGTTACTTCTATTGTTCATTGTTTGTTAATTGTTTACTAGCTTCTAAACATTGGACATATTTTATGCTTAGTCAATTTACTATTTGACACGTTTTCACTGTTGGAAATTATGGAATTTTCGACCACTGAAAGTGATCTTAAATAAGTCGAAAGCAAAAAGTGGTCGGAAATAGCAACAAAGGTTTTTCCAGATACCAAAAGTGGTCGGAACAAGACTTTCAACTTGATTTAAAATCACTTTCAGTTGGTCGGAAATTCCATAATTTCCAGCAGTGTTTTGATCTGTTCTTTGAGACGGTGTGAGAATACCTCTCACACATCATCATCACCACTAAAATCAACCTTTAATGGACTGATGTGAGTATTCCTGCTTATAAAAGAAAAAAAAAAATGCAACTTGTCATGTTGGATGGCTACAAACTCTTCTTTATTGGGTTAAATTGTAATAAACCCAAAGGAATGTTAGTTGTTTGTTTGTGTCTGTATTACACGTACATCTTTTCCTTAACTAACCTCTTCCGATCCCTATACATCTTACATATTATATTCAATTCGTTTATACTCTTTGGCAGCTATATGTATGTTTCCTCCCTAGTCCCTTGCATTAAATAAATATAATAAAGTTTGTATGTTATCTTTTTGTCTTCAGAATCTTCGGAATAAAAAAGCCATTGACTTGTTGACTTAACAAAGATTTTTTTTAGGTGAATGTTGACTTAACAAATATGACAGATCAGTAATTATTAATTATACGGAGTATTCGGTAAGATTTTTTTTTTTTTCACATTTAGTTTCCGGTTGTTGAATTATTTTTATATTTGGTCTCGACTATTAAGTTTTGGTCTGATAATAACTATTAAATCGTTTACATATTTGGTAACTATGAAGCTGCACTACTGGAAATTATGGAATATACGACCATCTAAAAGTGATCTTAAATCAAGTCAAAAGTAAAAAGTGGTCGAAAATAGCAACAAAGGTTTTTTCGGATAGCAAAAGTGATGGAACAAGACTTTCGACTTGATTTAAGACCACTTTCAGGTGGTCGAAAATTCTATTATTTTTAGCGGTGCTGGACCTATATAAACTCAGTTGTGTATCGTAAAAGTACAACTACACATTTACACTTTTTCTTAATACAAAATGAGCTCTTCATCATTACTAGTTCTCCGTGCCATTTCTTATGTTTTCTTTACATTCTTACTTTGCAACACCTCTCTTTCTGAACTTGGAAATTATACTGATTACCAAGCATTGCTTTCACTAAGGGCAAGTATAGCAAAAGATCCTCTTCAATTTACTGCTTCCTGGAATGAGTCCATTCATTTCTGTGAATGGGTTGGAATCACTTGTGGTCGCAAACACAAGAGAGTGACCAAAGTTGATTTTCATTCCAGCAAACTCCAAGGCCCTTTGTCACCCTCTGTTGGTAACTTGAGTTTTCTCACGGAATTGGTGCTCTACAACAATAGTTTTAGAGGCACCATTCCAAATGAAATTGGTAAACTTAGAAGATTGCAGGTTTTGGATCTCACAAACAATTCATTCTCAGGTGAAATACCAAAAACCATTTCTCTGTGTTTTAATTTGGTGAATCTGGGTTTGAGTCGTAATAACCTTACTGGCAAATTCCCTTTGGAGTTTCAATCAATGCTCAAGCTTCAATACCTTGATGTTTCAGAAAACAATTTGGTTGGAGAGATACCAGCTTACATAGCCAATTTTACTTCCCTCCATTCTCTTTCTTTCAGTGATAACAACTTTGTAGGAGAGGTCCCTACCTCTTTTGGCAAACTTGTTAAACTTTCCTACCTTTCATTAGGGTTTAACAACTTGTCTGGGACCCTCCCCACCTCCATTTTCAACCTTTCATCCTTGAAAAGTTTAGTGCTCTCTGAAAATCGAATCCGAGGCTATCTTCCTTCAAGTATAGGCTCTACTCTTCCCAATCTTGAGTATTTCAATATTTATTCTAATCTTTTCATAGGCCCGCTTCCAAACTCAATGTCAAATATCACAAAACTACGAGAGCTTGATGTTGCATATAATGGTTTTACTGGGAGAGTGCCCACATTTAGTCAGCTCAAACAATTACAGTATTTTGGGCTAAGCAGTAATCCTCTTGGCGATGGAAAATCCACTGACTTAGATTTCACCTTTTCTCTTCTCAATAGTTCTGCTACATTGCGATCCCTACTCTTTCATTCTTGCAATTTCGGAGGGGTTTTCCCAAAATATATAGCCAATTTTACAAGGCTTATGGGGTTGACAATGTATGGGAATCTCATATATGGAAATATCCCAAATGAAATACATCTTCTCGGTGACTTGGAACTTCTGGACTTGACAAGAAACCAGCTTAATGGTACTATTCCAACCACAATTGGAAGGCTACCAAAGCTTTATGTTTTGGAGATTGGAGAAAACAAATTTTCAGGTGAGATTCCAACTTCTTTGGGGAATCTGTCAATGCTCAGTATACTATACCTATCCTCAAATAATCTACTAGGTTCTATACCATCTAGTCTAGGAAAATCCATGTTTTTATCCATTCTTGGTCTTTCAAAAAACAATCTCACTGGCCACCTTCCAAAGGAACTTTTCCCCCCCACTTCATCTCTTGTAAAGGTAGACCTTTCTTATAATTGCATAAGCGGTCCTTTTCCTTCAGAGATTGGTGGGTTGAAAATTTTGGTGTTATTGGATCTATCAAATAACAGGCTTTCAGGCACACTTCCAAGTAGCCTAGGGACAATAAGTGGCTTGATTGATCTCAACATTAGTTTCAATTTTTTTAATGGAGTTATCCCTCATTCTTTCAGTTCATTAAAAAGCCTTCAGAATTTAGATCTATCTAGTAATAATTTCACCGGAAAAATACCAAAATTTTTTGGTGAACTTCAGTACTTGGAGCAGCTCAATCTATCCTTTAATCATTTGGAAGGAGAGATACCGAGTAAAGGAATTTTTAAGAACTGGACTGAAGTTGAGGTTAATGGCAATAACCTCTGCGGAGGTATTCCGCAATTTGGGTTGCCAACATGCCCAAGAGAAGGGGAAAGACAACATTTGTCCCATAGTCAAAAGTTGGCAATTTTATTTTCGAGTGGGACATTGATTTTGCTGATAATTGTGGCTCTTATTGTGCTCATTTACAAGCAGAAGAACAAGCAGCCTTTAACGCTGGATGCAACAACAGAGTTCATGCCTAAGTTGTCATATTGGGATATCCAGAAAGCAACTAATGAATTTTCTAAATCCAACATAATTGGTTTTGGAAAATTCAGCACTGTTTACAAAGGCATTCTTGATGGTAGTTTGGGAATAGTTGCAATTAAAGTGTTCAAGCTTCAAGTGAGAGGAGCATCCAAGAGCTTTTTGGCGGAATGTGAAGCATTGAGGCAAATTAAGCACCGAAACTTGGTAAAAATTTTGACAGCTTGTTGTAGCATTGACCATGAGGGTAACGACTTCTTGGCCATTGTCTATGAGTATATGATCAATGGTAGTCTGGACAATTGGTTGCACAATCACTCAAAAGACACAGGAGAGAATAAAGATTCAATGATTTTGAACTTGTTACAGAGGGTAAATATCGCAATTGATGTGGTAAATGCGCTTGATTATCTTCATAATCATTTGGAGACATGTTTAGTACATTGTGATTTGAAGCCAAGCAATATTTTGTTGGATGGAGACTTAGTTGTTCACGTGGCTGATTTTGGATTAGCAAAGTTTCTTCCCACAGAAGTTACATCTAACCAAGCGAGTTCATCTACTGGAATTAAAGGAACTTTTGGATATGCAGCTCCAGGTAGGCTATTCTCCTTGAAACTTTTATTAGAGAATCACTTCTAATTAAACATAAAAACTTTTAGATTATATTTTTTTGTGAAAGAATACTAATGCTTGAATTTGACTTTTTTCAGAGTATGGAATGGGAAGTGACCTATCAACATTTGGTGATATGTATAGCTATGGAATCCTTTTGCTAGAAATATTTACCAATAAAAGTCCTACTAGTGATATCTGCAATAATGGCTTAACTCTTCATAACTATGTTAGAATGAGCATGCCTGAGAAAGTCACTGAGATTGTGGATCCAAAGCTATTCCACAACAAAGCTTATGCAACACCTAAAAGTCTTGTACTTCAGAACCATATAATAGAATGCCTTGTATCAATTTTTAAGATTGGAATAGCTTGTTCCATGGAGTTACCCAGGGACAGAATGAGCATTGGCAATGCCGTTAAGGAGTTACATTCAATCAAAGACACCCTTGTGGAACTTGGAGACATTGGGACCATTCCTCGGTGAAATATAATTTATTTGTGACGGTACTTAAATTAGAGCATTACAAATTTTCTTCTATTGGTAATTTATACTTATTTATTACTGTAATGTTTTTGTTTCATGCCATATTCAATATTGGACGATGTCATACTACCATGCCGATCTATCAAAGTTAGAGCAGGGTTGTATCAAGTAAGGTAGCAGCGGAGTTTGCAACGTCAACAATCCAATCAGCAGATCAGAGACTAGATCGCGTAAGGGAGCAAATTATGGGGATTGATTCAATTCATTGCAATTGTATTTGATTGAGAATTTGATTTGATTTTATTTCATTTGTGATGTTGGTTAATTTTGATATTTTGAAGATTTTGCTCCTTTCCCTTTTGCAGTTAATTAGTTTGCGAGTTCATTGCAACTTCTTTTTCCTGCAAATTTCTTTTCTCCCTAAGTTTAGACAATGTTTCTCTGCACTCTCTGGAGTTTATTGATAATTGCAATAGAAAAACACCCAGAATATACATGTAAAAACTCAAAGCAAGAAGTAGAAACATATGTGCTATTAAGAAAAGGAAAATGATTCATTTTCTAGAAACTATGCTAGTAGCATTAACATTTTTCATAATAGGTAACCAACTTGGTTGACGTGAGCAACCGTGCACTCTTATCTCTTAAGAGAGGTCAGGAGTTCGAACCCCCTTTAATATGAAAAAATCAATATGGCCAGCACTTTGCCCCTCAATTGGGCCGGTCTTGTGCAAACATAGATTAATCTAACTATGGTACGAGTTTAAAGGTGCCTCCTATAATTAAGGCATGCTCAGGACACCTCGCGTGGATTAGTCTAAGTATGTTACGGACTTAAAGATGCCTTCTATAATTTGGGCTTGCTCAGGACACCTCGTGGTCTGACAAAAAAAAAAAACATTCTTCATAATAGGTGTTTCTAAGTAATACAATCCATTGATCTCCTTAGCCAAACCATTAATCATTTGCAACCCACAGTGGGTGCTATCCATTGATCTCCTTAGCCAAACCATTAATCATTTGCAACCCACAGTGGGTGCTAATAATGATGGCAATTATTATGTAGAGACAATATGGAATGTGGGTACCAAGCTAAGAAAATGGTGGAGGTATAAAAATAAAAGGTGGTATTGTATACATCAAAGAATCGTAGCTTTTTATAGCGCATGTTTGGGAACACGTGTCGAGATCTTGTTGACAAGAACAACGTGGTGTTCCACTAGTGGCTTACCAAGTTGGTCACGCCATGTGCCTATTTTGAAATGGCTTGAGTCTATGGACAATTGAATAGACGTTCCATGCGCTAATCACCTACGTGGATGGGGTCGATTCACGACCATTGAGGTCAAGAAATACACTATCGGTGGGAATTTTATTTATATATTTAGAAAAAAGTTTCATGGGCAATCAAATAAATTTAAATATAATTGACTAAAGAGTCATTTCGCACCATGAACTACTCCTGATTATTCATGCCGCACTATAAGAAGTGATATTTAGAGCCATAAATCATAATTTTTTTTTTCGTCAAGAACTTTTTACAGATTATCGGTAATAATATTGTTGACATGTAATTTTTTATTTGTTTTTTTGGTATTTTTCTTCTTTTGCCTTCGTATTATTTTTTTATCATATTTTTTTTCTTAAACGTATAGGCTTGCTTTGCTTTTTTTGCTTTTGGTTTCTCTGATCAGGCCTGCTCTGTATAGACCTGCTCTGCAGAGTTTGGTATCGGAGAAACGAGAAGCGAAAAACGCAGAACAAACCTATATGTTTAGGAAAAAAGAAAAATACCAAACAAAATTATAATATGAAGGTGAAAGAAGAAAAATACAAAAAAAAAAAAAAAAAAAAAAAAAAAAAAAACTAATAAAAAATTTCATGTCAACAATATTATTACCGATAACTTGTAGGAAACCTGTAAAAAATTTTACACGAAAAAAAAATTGTAATATAAATTAGTTAACCTTGAAAATCTAATACTGCGTATAAATTAATTTATTATTATTGAATTATTTAAAAAAATTGTATTTTATTTGTCCTTCAATTATACATGTAGTACTGGCTTACTCCTGTTACAAAAATCTCGCTTAAGCACCGATTAATCGGCACCTAGGCGCTAGGTGCTGGTTGGCTGCCTAGTGTATCACCATAATTAGTGGTCTAGGCAGCTGATTGACTAGGCCACCTAAGCGCCGCCTATGCCTCCTAGGCACCGACTAGGTTACTTAGTCGATCGATTAGCTATTGTTTCCTTCTTTTTAAAATGGATTATTTCACTCGAAACAACATCATTTTGAGCAAAATAACCCTAAATTATTTAAACTCTAGATGTTTTTAGACTAATACTTAATATATTAGTATTAACTATTAAAATATTAAATAGTTTATAATTATTAAGTCTAAAAAAATTTAAAATAATTATCAAGTCTAAACAAAATTAAAAATTTTAAAGAATTTTTTTAAAAGAATAGAAAATACATGGGCGCCTAGGCGCAGATTAATCACCGCCTAGATGCCCGCGCTAGGCGCCCATAGCACTCGAAGAGTGCCTAACAATTTTTCAATCATGCTCCTGAGTTATATGTGTAATTATCTTTAAAATTTAAGTTATGAGCGAAGTGATAATTTTAGTCCATCAAGAACTATTTCTCACACCAATGTTATTTAATAAATTGATGGATTTGAGGAATATCAACGACTAAAGCAGAGAATGGAAAAACAAAGGCCTTGTTTGGCAATCAACAGTTAACGGATTGTGTTAGTGGCTAGCTAGCAAATAACGAATTATATTAACAGGTTTGATTAGCTAATTGTATCAGCGGTTAGTAAAAAGATATTTGGTAAAATTAATTGTATAAATTAGCGATTAACATGTAAAATGACCTAAAGCGTATCATATATTTCATTTCATAATAATAATAATAATAATAATAATAATAATAATAATAATAATAATAATAATAATAATAATAATAATAATAATTATTATTATTATTATTATTATTATTATTATTATTATTATTATTATTATTATTATTATTATTATTATTTTATAGAAGAAATAAACTCTTTAAAAAAAATAAGAAAAATATAAGAGGAGTCGGTTCAGCTCCCTTAGTTTTGCCATTTTTTCTCATTGATGGGAAAAGTGGCATGGGAAAAGGAGCCTCAAGGCTCCAAGTTAAACATACATAAAGCTTGTCCATCCGTTGATGGGCAAGCAGTGAGCTAGCCAAACTGGCTCTTGCATTCACGGAGTTGAAACGACTCCACAGTAAACAAATTTTTTTTTTTTCAAATACAGAGGGCGTTTTTAAAAAAGAATTTTTTTTGCAAAACGCTAAATGCAAACGCTACAAATTGTAGAATTTGCATTTTCAACGGTTTGGAGCAAACCGTTGCTCCAAACCGTTGAATAACCAAGCATCTTCTTTAGCAGTTTAACCAAGGTCAAAATTAAACGCTGAAGTGGTCGATTCGTCAAAATTTTGACGAATCCACTATTACCAAACATTGCCCAAAAACTGAGATATTTCATTCCAATATGCCTAAAGAGAGCAAAACGTGGTGATTGACATTTGATCGTTAAAGAAGTGTGTCACTCGAATAATACACGGGTGGAATGAGAGGAATCTCTTCCTTATGTTTCGGGTGCATTGAGGGTGGATTCAATTAGCTTGCCCAAGGGTAGCACCATGCTAGAAGGGTGTCAGTTGTAAGACACTGAGTGTTGCCTTTCCCTTGATTAAAAAAACAAAAAAAATTTAACACTTTACATATAACTTATGAATTAAAACAATGACACATATAATTCATGAACTAAGTCTGTATCACAAATATAATTAGAAAACTAAAAATAAAGTAATTTTCCCAATTATTAATCGTTAACGCTAGCCCTAGCCAGCTTTATAAATTAGGTAACTTCACTAGTACAAAATTGAACATAGAAGATTGACCATAGGCCACCATTGTTGAAAGAATGGTTGTCTAATCTTAGTCCAAAAATTCGCGGTGGCAATTTTGTAAATAAGTGATTAATAATCCACTACCATTGTTAGCTGTAATGGTTGTCCATTGTATTTTGTATTTATTTAAAAAAAAATTGATTTATAAAAGGGCAACCATTTCTAATAGAAATGGTTGCCTTAAAATAGAACTTGTTTTATAATTGGCAACCATTCCTAATATAAATCGTTGCCTAAGATTAACCCTAGATCTGTGTCGTCCCGTGCCCATCATCTAATCAGATCAGAACGAAATATTCCATCGATCTCATACTCTCAGCACGCCGATCTGCTCCCATCCGACCGAGGCTCTGTTCCGAACGCCGCTGCTCTCGCCCGGCGACCCACCGCCACCACGTCGCAGAACTACTCACTTGCCGAGCTTTTGCAGCAATGGCGTCGTGCTCCTCCCGAGTTTCGTCGCACAAAGTGAGTTTTCTCTGTTTGGTGTCATCACCGAGAAGTCAGATTATTGAAGTGCACGGCTCTCAGTATCCTGTTGCATTTACGTTTCGGTGTTTAAATTGGGTAGAGCGTTACGTTATTCTGGTGCCAACTTGTGCAGGTTTACTGATGATTTCATTTCTGATGAATTTGATTGAATCAATGCTGACTTATCGGCGAAAATTGAAGAGGGCTTTGGGCCGAACAGCCTTGGAATTCTGTCAATTTCAGATGTTTTAGGGTAAATCATAGTTACACAATACATCTGTTAATCTTTTAGATAGAAAGTTGTAATTGTAATTTGGCTAGCTGTCAGATTATTGAAGCTGCATTATCAGTATGATGTCAGCTTGTTATATGTGTTTTGCATTCTCATCCTTTTTGTTTTTTTAGGTTCCTGAGTATACTTTGTTGCGTCGAAACCTACTTCTTCTTTCACCTAGGTAAGAATATATTCTTGACACCATAGATATATCATATATGTGATGTTTTATTTGGATATAACATTATAAAGATTGAGTTGTAAAGAAATTTTTTCTTATCAGATTAGCCAACCTGCCAGAAAGTGTGAAACAGGAGCTGGGAGATCCTCATAAAAGGTAACTAAACTTATCCCATGATCAATCCTTAAATCATAGTGTTTTTTTTTTTCATTGTTCTATGAATGAATGTATTGCTATTCTCTAATATTTGGTTGTTTGTTCCATCTCTAATGGCTGCCATCCTCATACTGTCTGTATTGAACTCCATATGCAAGTTTGTGCTTGGGGATTTTATTTTCCTTTATTCACCATTTAATCTTAGATTTGATATGGCCTTGGGACTTATGCCAGGGATTTATTTTCCTTTATTCACCATTTAATCATGTTTTTTCTATAAATTTATATGCATCACATGTTATGTTTAACACTTTAACCTGCTCTTTGTGCTGTTTTCTGAAACTTTACATATATTTCATGTTTCCTTGGACTTTCTCACTGCTACTTGATGTTTATTACACAGATACACTGAAAGGATCCTCAACTGAGAAATCCCTTATTGAACGGTTAAGATCTCTTCTTTAATATCCATCATACCTCTGATTAATTTCCATGTATCAAATCTGTAAAATTTTTGTATGTCACCTTTGAGTTTCTGCAGTTATATATTTCATATTGCTTAAAGATTATGCTCTTTTCTATCCTTGTAAAGATTATGTCTTCTCTGTCCTTGTAGATATTCATCATATTGCGGACGAAATATATGGCCCCATAGCGCTCTGCCTGAACTTGAGATGGGTATATTTTATCTATTCATATATCTATAAATTCAACATTTATTTATTTGCATTGCACTTTTTTGGTCTATTTCAAATCCAAATTTGCTTGATACTTGATTACAGATGGTATCTCTACCCCATTCAATGTTGTTGATAGAACAGCAACACCTAAATAGTCTATATTTTCATAGGCATTATATGATCCTGTTTTAATCAATCCTTGTACTGTAGAGGTTGGTCACATTTTATTTATTTTTTTCCTTTGTTATCCTGCAATAGAATTGCAAGACATTGCTAAAACATGCAATTGAATTTGTGAGTGCAGTTATTGCTGATCCAGGAGGAGGTGTCTTCATATCAGATCCAAAGAAGCCAGCACCGTTATCTCATATAAATAATGATGTGGATATCTGTTCCTTCAATTGCTGCTTTTGTGCAAACAGTTAATTTGAAGTAAATGCAATATACTAATGAAAATCTTTTATTTATCTTACAGGTGACTTAGTTACAAATGTTTTCAAGGTAAAGTTGAACCCGTCTCTTGCAGATGCTTATGGAGTTGAGTACTATTTCCTAATGCTGATAGATATCTTATGAATTTCATGCTCAGGGACCCAACAAACAAATACTTTGTCAACTGTCAATGCTTGAAAGAAAAATGGCTCAAGGTGATTTTTCTTTATATGCTTGCTACTGTATTGTGTGCAATCCAATCCATTTGATTCTTACTTCAGTGCCATCATTGCTGTTATCATCTCAAAAAGGTAATCTTTTGAAGCATTTCAGTGGAAGTATAGTTATTAACACTCAAAACTAGCAAGCAGTTATAATCACGCCAACTTAATTATACTAGTGTTGGAATGGTATAGCTTTATTTGTGTTGTGTTAGTGGAGAAAGTATTATACATGTGAATTTGGCTCAATAATACCAAACTCATATAAAGACTTCACCTCTTTAGAGTACTTGTAAGATCTATTCTCTCCGACTTCACAAAATAATGTTACTTGCAGAGGAAATTAAAGACATCGATATTTTTTCTTATATGTATATATATATATTCACGGATAAATATGAATCATGTGCATCGCAGGTACCTTGGAAGCAATAACTTGAGCGGGGAGCTACCCGCAAACATCATAACTAACACGCTTTTCTTGTATGTCCTGTCTGGATTTATCCAAGAATTTACATTTGTATATATATATATATATATATATATATATTGAGCTTTTCTTCTGTTGTGTGGTTGAAACCGAGGATTTTAACGAGAAAACAGTGCTAAAGTTGTACCTTGTTGCCTTTTTCTATTGATCGGTCCTTGCCTCAGAGATATCTCGTTCAATCAAATCTCTGGAACTATACCTGCCAATAAGTCATATATTTCACTGTGAGCCTACTCCTACGACCCTCAACTTTGAAGATTTTTATGTATCGAGATGCCTCCATATATTTTTTTCTTTTTTCAGAAATGTTGTTGGCACTTTGATCACTAGCGAAAAAAGGTCACGTCCGCGCAGGTTAGTGACAACAATTCATAGCTTAATTGGGTATTTGGTTTATTCTGTTTTAGTGCGCTTTTGTTGATGGAATATGCAATCTGAGCAGATCATTAAATGTTTAAACGTGGATAATAGATTATATTTTCTTACCTTTCTATGCAAAACTTTGATGATAGTGCTTGCTTGACGAAAAATTCGGTGTGCACTAAGAAAGCTTCATCAAGTAAGTATACACTAAAATTTTGCAACAAGAAAGAGACGATCGAACTAGTGGATGATCGCTTAACGGAACCATTTTGTCCATTTCAGCTTCACTTTCGATCAAATGTGGTGGAAATCAAATAGTAACTGTGGATGGGTTTCAGTTTGATGATGATTCGGAGATGCTAGGCCCAGCGTCGTTCTACATGAGCTCGAACAAGCAGTGGGCAGTGAGCAGTTCTGGAATATTCATTAACAACCCGAATGGACAGAACTATACAGCTCATTCGTTTTCTCAGATCCCGAACACTTAGACTATGAACTCTACAAAACAGTCCGGATATCCCCGAGCTCATTGAGGTATTATGGTGTTGGGTTAAAGAAAGGCATATACCGAGTCGAGCTTCATTTTGCTGAGATACAAATGGACGATATTAAGGACTCTTGGAAAGGCCTTGGGAGGCGCTATTTCGACGTTTCCATTCAGGTATGGCAAACTATTAAGGACTCTTGGAAAGGTCTTTTTTCTCCCCCCTTTTACTCCCGTTTTGAATAGTTCTTTTGGGGAAAAACTAAAATCTAATATTTTCTTTTGTAGTTTTTAATTATTTTTAATTTAGAATTGTAAATATGTAATTGTACATGGTGTAAAAAAAATATAGTTTTAAAATTATTTTTAATTTTTTTTTTATTTTTTAAATCAACAATATGCGACCATTCCTGGCCAAGAACGGTCGCGTAAAACTTTTGTATAAAAAAATAATAAAAACAATACGCGACCATTCTTGGTCAAGAATGGTCGCGTATTACTGACAATGCGCGACGATTGTGCGTAAAGTCAATGCCTTTACGTGAGCCTCTTATAGGCAACCATTGTACAATCGTCGCCTATTGTCTTTTACAATGGTTGCCTATCTGCAATTCTGTACTAGTGCTTCTATATTCTAATGTATGCAATTCAACCCAAAGTGAAGTGTTTTATATCTACAAAATGAGCTTCTCTATACTACTACTCCATACAATCATTGTTTTAGTTTTCTCCGCATTCTTCCATTTCAATACTTCCGGATTGTTATGTTGTGCATCCGCATACGGATGCAAAAACGACGTCGTTTTATTAAAAACGCTCATCTCACTTAAAAAATAATTCAGTTTCGATTTTCCTCAACAGCATTATGTTATTTATAGATTCTGGAATTTTAGTTCATAGATTCTGGAATTTTAGTTCATTGATTATGGATATTTAGACGTGAATCGAAATTGATTTTTTTTCATTCATGTTGGATATTTAGTTCATTCATTATAGATATTTAGTTCATTCATTATGGATTTTTAGTTCATTCATTATGGAATTTTAGTTCAATTTTAGTTCATATATAGATTCTGGAATTTTAGTTCATCGATTTTGGAATTTTAGTTCAAATTATGCACAATATAATGTTGTTGCTGGGAATCAAAATTAATTTTTTTTTTTTTTTAAGTAAGACGTACGTTTTTAATAAAACGACGTACATGGTGCATACGGATGCACAACATAATTCGCCAATACTTCCACCCCCCTCTCCAAACCTGGAAACTAAACAGATCACCAAGGCCAAGCATTGCAATCAATAAAAGCAAGCATAGGTCCAGTTTGGTAAAATATTAGCCTATCAACCAATTTGGCTTATTTGACCACTATTAATTGTTTAACTTAGTTAAAAAATCAACTCCAAAATATTAAAATTAAAAAAGCTGCTCAAAGCACTTTTTCAATTAGCTTTTTGAGAAAAGAAATTATACCAAACAGTTATCAGCTAACAACTAATTTACCAAACACCTTTCTACAATTAGCTAATGTTATCAACTAGTTATACCATCTAATTAACCCAATTAGCTAACAGCTAACGGCTATTAACTAATAACTATTTACCAAACAGGGTCATAGTAATCAATAGTTATGCTGTGCAACCGTGTGCACCATGCAAAACGACGTTGTTTTGACTAAAAACACGCATCCCATTTAAAGAAAAAAATCAGTTTCGATTCCCCTCAACAGAATTATGTTGTTCATTCATTGTGGATATTTAGTTCATTTTCACTGTGGATAATTAGTTCATTCATTCTGGATTTTGTGTTATTAATTTACTCTGGATATATAGTTATGAATTTGTGGATATATAGTTATGAATTTGTGAATATATAATTCAAATTGTGTACAAAAAAATGCTATTGCCGAAAATCGAATCTGATTTTTTTTTTTTTTTTTTTTAAGTGAGACACGCGTTTTTAGTCAAAATGACGTTGTTTTTGCAACCGTGTGCACCATACATGGTACACACGGTTGCACAGCATAATTTGCGCTTAGTAACCGATCCTTTTCAATTTACTGCTTTTTGGAATGAGTCCACTCATTTCTGTGAATGGGCTGGAACCACTTGCGGCCGCAAGCACCAGAGAGTGACCAAAATTGATTTTCACTCCACAAAACTTGGTGGCTCTTTGCCACCATAGAATGCGGTGAACAGTTGAAGATTAGCCAATCAAAATTGTGAAGATTAATATATATAGTCCCATGTTCAACTATTGAAGATTCTCTTACTAGACCTGAATTGGCCTTTTTGTTTTCCATTTGATTATTATAGTGAGTGAGAAAGAAGAATCGCTCAAGCGCAAAGTAATAGTGGGAGATCATTATATTCTAGAAAATAAAGATCGAGAAGTAACAGGAAAATACATATTAGTTTGGGTGTCTAAAAAAATGCTTAATTTTAAAAACAAGTTGTAACCAAAGGAAAAAAGACGTGTGACAGATCAATAATAGTTGCTTAAGACACATGACAAGCAGACAAGAGATAAGTGTGCTTGGTGAATTTCAAAAGGATTGATGATCTAAAAGTTGTGTTCAAAGGAAAAGATAAGTCAGACAGAAATAAGGGAGTAGGAAACACAAAGCCATCATTTACCAAAAGAGGGAAAGAAATTAAAGGGAAAATATAGTTGCAGTGCTCTCAATTGTACATTATTGTCAAAAGCCTTCTAGTTTATTAACATAAATTATAAATTAGAATTTAAAAAAAAAAAAAAAAAAAAAAGAAGTCAAAAGCTGAATTTTTGAACCTTAGATGTACCAAAAGTAGAGTATTTGTATCATTTTAATAGCATTATTGCGAGAGAAAAGGAAAGCACATGAAGATTAGTGATGGTTTATTATTTTGCCTCGTTTTCAGCCAAATTGTCCTACAAAATCATAAAATATAAAGTGTGGTGATATTTTATAGAACAATGCACAATTTTAGCTTAAATGGCCTAGAAATAGTCACAAAAGATCATAATTAACTCAAAATACACCCTAATGAGACCCTAAAACTAGGTGTCTTTGACTCTTATCAAATATCCATATATGCAAGAAGTAGAAACATATGTGCTATTAAGAAAAGGAAAATATGATTCATTTTCTGGAAACTATGCTAGTAACCAAACCATTAATCATTTGCAACCCATTAATAAATAGAGCTTAGATAGAAAGAAATTAAAGTTTAGAAATGGGTTGAGAGATTGATTTCTACTATTTATATTTGAGAAGAAAAAGACTATAAAAGACCTAATATAAAAAATGTTATATATAAAAATTCATAACTTTTTGAATATCAATGCACTTTTAAAGACTCTTTAAAAATTTTAATTTAATATCATCCTATTTTAAAAAAATTCTTTAAAAATCTTAATCAAATAACTAAAAGTTTGAATTGAATACCTCCAAAATTTTAAAGTTTATAAAAATCTTTAAAAGTTTGTGTATTGTTTTATTATTTTATTGACATACTTTTGACCAAAAAGAAATTCTAATTTAACAAGCGATCAAGTCATAAAATTTGAGTCCCAATAAAGTCTCAAATATTATTGGACCTCTCATACATTCATTTACCAGATCATGATCTCTAGTGGCCCAGTTTATTTGTTTGGTCATGCCTGTGAACAATCGTTATACCGTGCACCAGGGTGCACATAACAATGTGCGCCTACGCCTCCCAAAACGATATCGTTTTGGTAAGTTCTGTATTTTTAAGTATAAAATTCTGTGTATTCTATTATATAATTTTGTACATTCGAAACATATGAATTTTCAATTATAAAATTCTGTGTTTTCAGGTACAAAATTCTATGCATTCTATTATATAATTCTGTACATTTGAAACATGGAAATTTTCAGTTATAAAATTGTGTTTTCAGGTATAAAATCCTGTGTATTCTATTATACAATTCTGTACATTCGAACATGAGATTTTTTTTAAGGAGTTAACAGCAAACACGCGAAAAGGTCCAAAATGACGTCGTTTTGGGCCCGTTTTGGACCAGGGCGCACAATGCGCCCTGGTGCACAATATAATTTGCCGCCTGTGAAATTAAAAGGAAAAATTAAAGGTCAAAAAATGCATTCTTTCAAAAAAAGGCTGAACCCCAACCCTAAGGGCCCCCCACACCCCGGCCCGACAAAGGTCAAAGAATGCATGCTGAGGTGCTTGAAGGTGAAACCATGAAAGGTGGAAAATTAGTATACGTGTAACATGCTATAAATTGGGACCTTGTAATATGAAGACATTCAAAGTTTCAGGAGTTTTGTCAATTAGAATACAAAATACGATCCCAGTCGAAATAGTAATGGCCCGTTTGGTTTATGGAATAGGCCAAGAATGACATAGTATTCTTAGTAATAGGTCTATTTCTTTGTTTGGTAACCATTTCTATTACT